AGAAATATTAATTAATATTGTTCATAATGTGACGTTGCAAAATTGTTTTACTTGGAAACTAATAAACTTTGTAGTAAAGCTCCTTCGACGCAAGAAGCAAAGTCAGAATGTAATGAAGTCAATTGGATGATTTATTACAAAAGGAAGAATATAAGATATTATTAATATTTAGTGAACATTAATATAATTTCAACAATCGCTGGTAAAAGAAATACGCATATGTGTATATACTTACATATGTATATATGCGGCACTGAATGAATGTTTAATATCTGATTGTTTTAGCACGTACGCTCTGCAATATTAATTCAATATAACTAGAACTAATAATGCGAAATAAACAAGCACATTCATTCACACATTTCTCCATGCCTTGAAATTATTCCTGCGCCAAATTAAGCAGCAATATGAAAATGGGACACATTGTAGCCTAAGTATAATAATACCTAAACACTTGAAGGTAGAGATATTAATGTACATACTCCTACATACTCGCATGAATATTACAAACATAAGTCGCTCGAAACCGTGTTATGTTGCGAAGAAGATAATAGTTTTGTTCACTTAACGGTGGATTTAAATAAATTTGGTTTGGTTATACTCGTATACATCCATCTATACATACAGTCAGCGTAATAAATCTACAAGCAGCTAATACAAATGTTTATTTGAAAATTTTTTTAAAATAACTATTTTAAATTTTATTATTCTTATAAAGGGTTGAACGTAAAATGATGACGCCGAATTTGTGTGCACGTGTTCACCAATTAAACGAGATAACAGTACTTTTACGTAGCTATCAAAGCGATCAAAAGTCTACAAGCACTTTACATATGAAGGATTTACTGTGTAATATTTAAATTTTTTATGCGATATCCACGGCGATTTAGAACCTCCACAAAGCGGTTTTCCATTGAGCCTACAAGCTTGCTCGTCTCTTGAGTTGTTATTTCAGATCACTCTTTAATTACCACGTTTTTGAGCTGCTGTGTACTCGATATTGTGTGTTTTCGTATTTTTCTTTCTAAAAGTGCCCATAAATGTTATTTTTTGGGTTCAAGTCGGATGACCATGATGGCGTGTGTAGTTGTTTCGGTGCGTCATAAAGCAACCAAAGCCTCACAATTTCTGCTGTGTGCCGAGTCAGCTAGTGTCTAAATAAATATGCCCATCCAATGTTTTCTCCACAAACTCATAGGTGGCATAGCATCACGCCACCACCTCTATGGTTCACCGATATTGTTTTTGTTCTATGTTTCAATTGGTATACGCCACACTAATTTGCGTCCTTTTATGTCAAATACTCCAATTGATCGGAAAAGAACATTGTTCCAGAACTCATTCGACATGTTTACATATTTGTTTGCGAGTTCAATCGCTTTTTTCGATTAGTTCGTGAAACAAGAGGTTTTTTTCGTGCTCTTTTTGTCTTGTCCTTTTCAGAATTCTTCGCGCAGTCACTACAGAAATGTTTTTCGCGAATATTCTCTCTATATCAGTTAGTCGTAAATTTTTTATTACCGCATTCAATATTGAGCGACTTTCACGAACGGTGAGCTTCGGTGGGCGACCAGGTCGAGGTTTTATTTCTTTCGTCGGCCCTATTTTCTTGTCGATTAGACACCATCGTCAAATTTACGGCAGTTTTATAAAAACAAAGTAATTTATTGGATTAATTAAAAACACATTAAAACACTACCAAAATTTTTAAAAATTAACTTGCATCACACACTAATTCCTCAACAATACTGAGCACTTGTCGATTTTTGACCGCTAGATAGTTACGTTGCAAAATAAAAGTACCGTTATTTCGCCTAATTGGCGAACACGTGCACACAAATTATGCGTCGCTTAACTCTGTAAAAGAATAATAAAATTTGATTTCAATAAATTACTTATTTTAAAAAATATTTTTAAACAAAAATTTTTGTATTAGCTGCTTGTAGACGCTGACTGTATATCAATATTATCCGCATATGCTAATTTGAATCAAGCAGCATTTCATATCTATCCGTAATAAATGAATGCTCGGTCTTAAATGAAAGAAATCTTATTGATACCACTTTAAACTTTTTTATAACTGTATTAAATTTTACTCTGTATAACATTTAAAAATTCAGCATGGTTAGCCATAATTGACATAATTAAACATTATTTTTGATCCATATGCAAGTATCGTGAGTACATCACGGGGTTTGCCATGCATAATTCCCGTCTAATAAAAGAGGGGAAAAAATTAGTCATCAATGCATGAATAGCATGTGTTTTGTGCTATTCTCCTCAAGAAAATGTAACACAGAGACCACGTGTTTAATCGAATCATCGATATTGACCGCCGGTATGATACTCTTTACCCTTTTAAATTAAGTTGACTTAAGTGAATTACTCGCCGTTTCAGCATATTTCATTTCCTAATTTTCGTCAAAAAAAGACATTAAATGATACCTAATTTTTTATGTAAAATGCGAGGAAATTTTAGCCTAAATTCCAATATAGGGTTTCGCTTCAGAACTAACGTTTCAAAAACAATACCTGATTATAGTTAAATTGAGCGACTTTGTAACTACTTAAGATCGTACAGTTGATAATCAAACCTATTTAAGAATTGAAGCGGGTTGGTGAGAGAAACCAAATCTCTCACCATTTTCGAAAGAACTTTACATTCTCGTAGTCAACTGTAAACCGCTGAACGAATGTATTCGTTTGCAGCTTCATAAGATTCGCTTGATTTTAGAATGGAATCGGTGTCTCATTCTATGTAAGCAAATATTAATGAGAATGAATTAGAAGAGGAATAAAATGGAATGGAATGCATTATATTGTAATTATCATTTCTTGATGCATTTAAATTATTTTTGTCTTGTTGCGTTTATTTTAATAGATTTTTGATAGGAATTTTCAAAAAATTCACAATTTTCGGAATCTCACACAGTTTAGAAAAACAATGCATTTTGTGGATTTGTCAAAATTGGCATTTGTTGTATTATTTTTGCATCTATATGTAATTGTATAGCGGTATCTCGGAAAAATACGTAATTCGGAATAGAAACATTCGATTTAACCACAAGTCTATTACGTGTGGCGGATCTCACATAACGAGAAACTATCGCATGTAAACGAAAAACTATCCTATGTAAACGAGAAACTATCGGTAATGTCACAATATGTTTTAAAAAATCATTTCTCTAACGTTGGAGAAACCTTAATTCTCAAGTTGATATCCAATATAATTCTCAAGTTGATCTTCAACCTAAATGTGTATTGGGGTCTAATGTCCGACAATGTACATATGTATGTATGTATATAATTTTGTATGATGCTGTTACTAAATGAACGAAATGAATTAAATACACATTTGAAAATTCAATAGTAAATGGACTTTATTTTAAAATAATCATAAATAAAAATAGCATATGCTTATACTTAAGTACATATTTACAAAAATATTTAATTCAAACAAAACGAAAGAATTCATCAGTAAATATAGTACATACATATGTACATATATACATATATTTAAGTGAAATTTAAAATATTATTTTTTAAATTATTTTCTGCAACATTAATATTTAAAAACATTATTTGGATGACGGATTCCTTATCGGAAGAAAGAAGTGTTCTTTTTCCGAAAGTAAATTACGCGCTACGGAAAATATCCACTCGGTGGATGCACTACTTGCCGGAGTTGCTAATATTTTGCACGATACTTTGTAAAAAAGCGGAAATTCATACTTATGCAATTCCCACCATTGTAAAACATTAAGGCTAGTTGTAAAGGCTACGTCCACACTCCGGTATCGATCAAGTTCCCTTTGAACGCGTCGTGTTGGATTACAAATCGACTGACATTTTACGAATTCACTGAAAACCTCATTACTTTCTGACTCTATTTGAGCTATATTTCCGTCATTATCTGCATTTGGCACATATTCTAACATCAAATTCATGCACTTATCTTTAATTTGGGTTTTTTCTTCTTCACTATATTGCAATAGTTGATTTGCAGGTGGAAACATAAACATCGCAATATTATGGTAAATGGTTAAATTATCCATAAAAACTGATTCCAAATAATGTCTTTATAATTGTTGAGTCTGCTATATTTACTGTAATTTTTTTCAACTTATGTATATAAATAATTGATAAATGCAATGTCGGATGTTTATCACTTTCGAATTGCTTAGAAGCTTCTTCAAAATTTATAGTAAAACAATCCAAATATTCCACTATTGTGCTTGGAAAACAACACTTCAATAAAATAAAAAATTGAAACTCGAAACGAAGGCATATAAATTAAGAAAACCCGTTATATTTTTTTTGTTTAAACACTTGCCAATCTATGCACAATCGTCGTAATATTCTTTTCTTTCATTCAGAGAATTATTTATTGTAGTTGAAAAAGCAAAATCATAGAGTAATAAAACGAGAATAAAGAATACTCCGTTACAAAAATGATATCACGCATTGAGAGTAAAGAGAATGCTTCCAAAAACGTATACAATCGTGCAGCTGTTTAGTCAACTGATACATTCTAGTATTAGTGAACCTACTATCTATACGCATGTTGGCTTCAGTGGAGGTTTCCTCCGTTTTTTCAGCTTGAATATTGACCTCGATTTGGGGATTAGAAAAGTGATAAAGCATCAGTCTAAAGATTAGCAAACTCTGGAATAGTGTGACTCAACAGGCGGTGTTTGTGAACACGAAAACTACTACTTTTGCAATAGAAAAGATTGAAATCGTTATAGAGAATGTAAACCCCTCCACATACATTGGCCCTGATAGAATAAATATCTGGATCAGAAAAGAATGAACCAAGGTTGCTAATCAGTCGCTGAGAGGTCTTGAAATCTTCTTACCCATTCTGATTAAAATTAAAAAATCAAAAAAATATGTACATAATATATTTTATTTCAAAAGACTAGTATATTTTGCATTTTTAATAAATAATACAAATAAATAAATTTACAAAAAATGGAATGAAAGGTTGCGTAAAGCAAAATATTTCAACGCTCTTTAAACTGAAGTTCGGGATATAAAATTTTTTAATTCACTGCCTTCAGCGGAAGTTGGAAAATTTGGAGTTTTTGTAAGATCAATTCCCTGAGGACCCGGCAACAGTATTGGCCTACATTGTCCATCGCCGTTTAGCTTGTTCATCGGTACGGTAGTGTCCGACAGTGGTGCCAATGTTATTCTACCTAATTCTTTTTCAGTTGTTTCAAGCACCGACTCTTTTGTTGATATGAACTGCATTTCACTGTACCCGTTGCTAGAAGGAACGTTTGTTCCATTATAATCACATCTGCCAATCATTCTCAAAGGTTTTTGTATCCGTGATGAATTAAATTGCAGTTGATAATGCTGTTGCAAGGTGGCAGTCGCATACGATTGTTGAATACTATTAGTTTCATGTTCAATAACTCTGTGCTGGTTCATTCGATATTGCTGATTTAAGCCATTTTTCTTTTGTTGAAGCGGTTTTGAGGATGTTTGATCTTTTACGCAGACTTTAGATACAAGAACAGCACTAGATAGTTGACACTGATTTTGTTGTTTTCGTTCTCTTGCACGCTCAACATGCTTTTTTCGTTCTTCTTTTGACCAGTAACGTCCTGTTTTGACTTCTGACATATTATCCTCTTCCGCGGTTGTTGAAATATCTCTATTACGAATGTGTTCAGTATTAATGCGAATAGAACGATTTTGAACCATGCAGCGACTACGAGCCGGACGACGAACAATATATCTTGTTCCATCTTGACGCCGTTTTACTTTCCAAACCATAGCTTCATCTTTCGAATGTGGTTTCTGGTTAACGTCAGTGGTGGTAAGTAAAGGTACTGTTGTTACCAGCTGAGAACCAGTTCTTACCTAAAATATACAAAACAACATATATATATCCGGAATATTTACAGAATGATTACGGCGTTTTAAATTTTGTATATGCATATAGACGTCTATGACGTTGATGCCACCAACATTTGTATAATTTCTTATAAGCTGTCAAAAGCAAGGGCTTGATGACACCTAATGGGAGGAACAGCTCGAAATCTTTTCTTTTTTTGAACGAAAATCATAACGTTATTATATTAAACAAATAAGAAAGCGATAAGTTCGGGTGTAACCGAATATTGTATACTCTCGGAATTTGTGTGACTCAAAGGTGGTGAAATATTATGGTGTTGACAAAACTTAATATTAAAAAATGTTGCGAAAGAATCATAGGGTATATCGGGATTCTAGTCGTCTAAGAAAAAATGGTATGTTGGGATAGTTCCCTACAAAGCCAAAAGTAATTAGCAAAGCTACCCAGTCGAAAACATTTAGCTTAGACATACAGTAACGGAGGTACAGCGGGGAGCAAAGTGAGTCCGTTGCTTGCATGATTCGCAATATAGAGCGAATAAAACCAACAGTAAAGCAAACGTAATATAATATACAACAAATTATCAAATATCCAACGAGAAGAACATGAAATAAGATTAAAAAAAGGGAAACTCAACCTTTGGCATTTTAATTTTCTTATCAGTAAAATTATCAAAATTGTCAATTTTATTATTTTTTTGACATAATTATAAAGTCATTATAATTATTTATGGTATAGACGTAGAAAAAGCGATTTTTAATATATCAAAATTATGCGGAAATTAGATCGCGAGGCCAAAAACTGAAAAAGGGTAGACGTCCCGATTACTTGCTACTGAACATAATTTTTCAGTTTTTGGTCAAACGAGTTCTAAACAAAAAACTGTAATGTTTTTGCTGGAAACGCTCTTAGAGGCCGTTCGCGACTTTTAACATAGGACAGACAGAGAAAACCACAGCAAAAATTTACTATATTTAATGATTTCATGATTTTACTAGAAATATGTAAACACACGTTAAAACTTTGCCAAACAGCACCGACTATACATCCATAAAACGACACCACGTAAAGCATACGCTACAGTGGCAGCAGTGTAATGGTATGGAGCTGCTTCACCGGGTTGAATATTGAAAAAAAAACATATATATGTATATATTAATATTTTACGAGCCCATTTTTCCGATTTTAATGAGGAAAATGTTTACACCGAAGCTAACTGTTTCAGCAGGATGAAAACCCGAAACATATTCTAAAAGTCCTGCAAAACTGACTCGCTGACTAAAATTTCAGTTGATGAAGTGGCCTGCTCAAGCCGGCAGGATTTGTGGCAAAATGTGCTCAAGGATGTTTAATCAAAAAGAAAGTGTTATAAAATATAAGGACTTACGAACTACATAAATATTAATATTTTTTTAAATTAATAACCGGAAGTTCGTAAATTGTTATATTAGGAATATGGGTGCTAGAAGATATATTGAATAAGTTGTAAACATGTTTAACACAAAAGCGCTGTCTTATCACAAAAGATTCTTTCCGAATTTCAATAATAGATCTCACATATTGACCGATATTTTAAGTACAAAGTCATACATAGTGCTACTAGGGTCCACATATTCAGTATCTGAGGTCTTAATAAGTTATGGCTCGACCTCTAAATATAAACACTGCAAAACGGAAGAATAAGATGTAATTTAAAATTGCGATATTTAGGAAGTAAACGTAGTCGTCATCCGATATAGCACACTTTCACACTACTAATATAACACTGTCGGGATAATCATATATCAAAACGTTTATACTCCCTGTTGCAACATGTTGCGAGAGTATAAAAGTTACTAATAAATTTAATGGAGTACAAAATAAAAGGTTTATTTAATTGTGTCTCTATGCAACATACTTATGTAAGTCACTGTATGAGTTGTTTTTGTTTAATTTTTGCTCTACTCACATGCATATTTATTCGCAGATAATGTTTCGCTTATTTTTAGTACATAACATATAGAATAAAATAGAACATTTCATCTGCTTTACTGTTTTCTTTTTTATTCGCTCCGTAATAAGAAACATGCAAACATTTACTCACTTTTGCTCCCCACTTTATCTGGACATTCCCTTAAGAAATATGCAATTATTAGTAACAAACCTCTTGACTGCTAACAAAATGATATTGACTTAGGTTTGGTGCAACGAATTGAGGACAGCATGGGCTCTGTAAATGATGAATTTTATCGCGCGTCAGTGATTGAGACAAATTAGTTTGATGTTGTGAAATCGCTTCTCGGCACATACTTCTGTTAAAGGTCTGATAAATATTAGGTTCATTATTGCATTGGTGGTTTGGGGAAAATTTAGCTTGTTCTTCTGTTGAACCGTCTGAAATATATCAATAGCAATATACTTAATATATATATATAAATATACGGTAATCAAACATACCCAGATCACTGCGATGAGTTTGTGTAAGCTGTGTTATGCTATCACTGCCGATATTAGTCAAGACAAGATTAGTTTTGTCTTTCGACTCATACAAATTCTGCGTTTTGCTGTCTTCATGCATACCATTACACTTACCATTTGGATTAAGGGCCGATACAAGTTGAACTGTACTAATATTTGACCCCCCCGTATTGTAAGCACTAGAAGAGTTATCAAGTTCTTCATCTTGCGAAACATCTATTCTATTGCCCCCACCGCTGCCACCACTACTGCTTGAACCGTTTGTTATAGTTGTTAAGGTACTAGAGACAGTATTATTTTTTTTATTTGTATCGCTATTCCAATATTTACGTATACAACTGCTAGTACTTCGTCCAGATTCTTTGACAGCATATTCTGAAATCGCCATTGGAGTAGAACATACATCTAACCATTTCACTACACTTTTCTTTTGTTGCAGCTGTTGGAAAGAGTCAGTAGCGGCAGATGAACAGGACCCCAACGCCGTAACATATGTTGAACTCTCATAGGGAGAGCAATAAACTGGCTCTAATTCTGAATCCTCTGGTATAGTTTCATATATATGTTCTGTCGTATCGTAATTAATATCTCTGTGATCATTCGGTTTATTTTTTGACGATACAAATGCTGTTGGTGTACGAAAAATAAGCTGGTCACTTTTGGGTGGTCGTAAACTCTTTTTTGTTGAGTTATGGTGTTCCTTTTTTATATTTTGCTGTAAAACAGGATGAGTAAGCAACTGTTCCATACCTTTCTCGCATCCAAATATTGAGCGTTTTTCCGGGCTATTTGCGGTAACTACATCTATTTGCGTGAAATTACTAGGATAGGCTAACGTTGTCACGGCGGTTGAAGGTACTGTTGTTAGCGAGGGCCTTTGTGCAATAAAAACAGATTGCTGTTTTTTGCTTTTATTTTCATGATGATTCACTAAAGACTTTTCTAAATCTGAAGCGGCTTCATTCTGTGGAAGACAATTTTCATAAGTCATATTACTTTCAACGTAAAACTCTTCTTCCTCGGCGTCATCATCGTCATCAATTTCTATATCAGCCAACAAAGGGTCGTTGAAATCGTCCTCCTCCTATAATGGTCAAAGACCGTGGAAATTATTGTTAATCCTAAATATAACAGTTTAAAATAATTTATCCACTGAAATAAGCTTAACCAAAATATAAATAAACCAGCCAACATTTAAAAGTAATAAAAACAATATTACTTTAATATATTTTTATTTGAAAACAAGAAAAAACGTTAACTTACACAAATAAAGAAGTTTCCATACAAGAACTTGGTTTTGACCGTTCAATTTGTATGGCAGCTATAGCATATACTCATAGCAGTTCAGACTGGAAAATGTCTTCGGATATTGTAGATTTGCTTTGGGCAACAATCTAAGCCGAATTTCAAGAAGTTATTTTGTCGTATAAAACAGTTTTACATACCAGAACATAATTTTTAACGATCAGTTTGTATTACAGCTATTTAATATAGTGGTTTGAACTGGAAAATTTCTTCGGATATCTTGAACAAGTAACGCCGAATTTTGTGAGGAATAAAAAAGTTCTTCATACAAGTACCTTATTTTAATCGTTCAGTTTGTGTGATACCTAATGTTATGGTGGTCAGATCTAAACAATTTTTCCGGAATCCTTGAGCAAGAATTCATTTCAAATTTTGCGAAGATATCTGGTGAAACAAACAAGTTTTCCATACAAGAACTTGATTTTGCTCGTTCAGTTTTTATGGCAGATATATCCTATAGTAGTAGTCCGATATCAGCGGTTCCGACTATATATACAGCAATAAATAATTTGAATAGTACTTTCACTTGACATAAAATTAGAAGGAAATTTCCGGCTTTTAAGAAAATATCGACAAATTGGCAATGTGGCGGACGTACTTTTTTTTTGTTCAAATAGCACATTTGAAAGAATTCAGTATTTTCTTCAACCAAATAAAACCTAATTTATGTTTGTAGCTTAGTGAACGGGTGCGTGGTCGGTTTTTTACACGACGCCCGAACAAGTAAAAAATCCTTTCGGGACCAAATTTAAAGGTCCAGAAATGGGACTCATACAAAAGCTTATATCAAACAAATGTCTGGCGCAAAGCTCTTTCGATGGGGTCGGACCATAGGATAAATGGTGTTAGATGAGTGGGGTTTCTACAAAAACACCGTAATAGAAACTGCTTGGAGAGGAGCTCGTTATGTTCCTTGACCGGAAGCATACGGGCCTCACTATGCAGGTGTTCGATTGGGGTGTATAGATATCTGTATATAAAAATTTTACACAAACAATACAATCTGATGAAAATTTAATATTTTTCGGTAAAATTTTTTGATTTAAATGAACGGCCCCGGCTACGGAATCGTTGAAGATGTTGCTTAAGCGTATTGGAGGAGTCAAACAAACACATAGTCACCTCTGTTAATGAATGAATGTTTTCCGAAATTGAAAAATCCGCTTTGAAGCCATTAAAAGTCATTCGCGGAAGGCTCTGACGCCGAGGCCAACAACCAAGGGTATGGAAAATTGGATTAAGCGTTGGTATGCTTATATTGGATCACAAATGAGCATATTTCGAACACAATATATATTAAAACTTGTGAAAATGTGTGTTTTTTTTGTCAGTCCGGGTCAAATTTGAGTTATATAAACATAATAAATAATATAGAATTACCGTAAAAAGATACCGGCTAACTAAAAGAGTTACAGCATTATTATTTTCCGCGATCAACAGTTCGGTTTCTTCTTTATTTTTGATATCCTTCCCATTAATTTGAAGTATTTGATCACCTTGACGCAACCGACCGTCTCTTCCAGCTACACTATCCGGTTGTATGCCACTTATATATACTTCAGTACAGGCATCGTTGTCGTCAAAACTTGAGAAGGCACCATTGTGTTCGCCGCTATTACCGTTGCTGGCGCAACTATTATAACAAACAATTAACCCCAGTCGTTCATTGCTATCGGACTTTCGCAGTGTTATTTCCTGAAAGAAATATTTTTGAAAATTCACAACAGAAAAATTGGTTAAGAAAAAAACCAAACAAACTCACTTCTACATCAATTTCTGGTGCTAAACATTGGTCTAATAAATTATGTTCATGTTCAACGAAATGATCAGCCGCTTTTTTTGAACTATCATAGAGAAAATAACTAGTGTCAGTTTGAGTTGTCTTGCACACACGCTCAAGAGAATTTTTTGAATTTTTCGCAGGCTGGGATGGTTTTGTACCTACAACCAATTTTATTGTGAAGGATGTGTTTGCAGAGCTATTTTTGACCGGTACTTCTTTCGTCGTTTGTGCATTTGGAGTAATTTGAAGAAATTCCATCTTTGATTCAATGTGATCGAAATCATGTTTGTTAAAATTGCAACCAGTAATGCAGCTTTCGTTAGACCTGTATTTCCTTTGGATTTCCACAAGCAACGGCTCACCGGCAGTAAGGAACATTTGAACCACTTTTTGTTCTGGCAACTGATTTATATCGGCGCCATTAACCTATGAAAATATTTTAATATTATATGAAAATTGCACTCTAAGATGATTTCTTACCTTCAAAACAACAAAGTCAATTTCGGCCATAATGGTACATGTAAATAGTTAGGGAGTGTAGGAAAAGGTGTCCTTTAGTATTACTTCTTTGTTTTGCAAATTTCCTAAAACCATAAATATATATTTTTAGTTTAGGGATCCAATAATATTTAGAATCTTCATTTACATATCGTGAAATAGATTTCAGATTACAAAATTTCTCACAAAAATCTCATATTTACAGTTTTTTTTTTCTCTTTTGAGGTTAAGGTTTAAGGTCACAGTATGTCCGACGATATGTATACGTTCATTTCGTACATATTAACCGATATATACATTAAGCCAACCGGGTAATTGAAATTCTTATAATTGTCGGCTTCAAGTAAAACTAATTGCCAGTTCAGGGTATCTTACTTTTACAAAACAAGAGTGTTCAAGTTGGCTTATAAAAACTAAGTATGAAAAGGATGAATAGATCCTTAACTCAGGCGATCTAAAATAAAGTATTTAAGTTACAGTAGGTACCTTCCAAATGGGATTAGGATTAATGGACCAAAAGGGAAAAGAAATTTTTCCTACAAAAGTGAGCGCTGCAAAGCAAAGCGACGGACGACAAGTCGAGGTTAGTACGATAAAAAGGTATAAAGCGAGCAGTATCAGCAGCGATCACCCTGCAGAATGCGAGAGTTAGCATAGGTCACCAGGTTATGCTTTTTATCAGACCACCGCTAGAGATGGTAATATCTGGCGACCTATTATCTGTTCCGCCAGCTCCATCCCCCTACGATCGTTTGACAGGCAGGAGTGCCAAAGATTTTGGTGCGCGTTTGAGATTGGTCAGATTGGGGGTCGTGCTGCCTCTGTGAGCTCCTTAAGGCCGTGGAGGTCCTTTCTTGGCCACTCGACTGAAATGGCGGCGCAGTGCGCGAACAAGGTGTCGCAGTAGTGCGTTGGCAGCATGGAGTCACGTAACTTATGGTCCACTCCCTATGGGTCTTAAGGCCTGAGCAGGTCTTAAGATGGCCCCATCTGTTGCATGCATTGTACATTACCGAAGTGGAGTTAGGATAGAGCCGTTTAGCGCAAATACAGCAGAATTCCTCGGGGCCCGGGTTGGACTCGATGCCAGCACAGGTCAGAAGGATACAGAGCAACCCTGCTGCTAGGAGTTGCTCTAAGGACGACAAACTTAGACTAAAACTTACCGATCCAAACAGGTTTACATCGCCAAAATAACAGTCCTTGGCCGGATAAAATCCGGGTCAATTCCGGTAACGTAGAACTGGCTGTTGTGGGAATCGTCGAAGATTTGTTAATGACTTCGGTCATTGCAAACAGCAATTACTGTTTTACTTATTATTACTAATGAGATATCGCGCTACATGTGACATTACATTTGTAGTGTCGGTCGGAAAATGAGCATCGAACAAAAAGCCAACATTAAGTTTTGTTTTAAACTTGGTAAAACTTTTACCAAAACTCACCAAATGATGAAACAAGTTTATGGCGATGATTGTCTATCCCGTAGCCGTATTCACGAGTGGTTTAAGCGTCCCAAAGATGTTGTAAACGAAAAAAACACGGAAATTGTGCGTGAATTCATTAAAAAAGAGCCGAAATCATCGCTTAAATATATGGAATCGGAATTATCAATATCTGCAGCGTCGATTTATCGTATTTTGACAGAAAATTTGGGCCTCAGAAAGGTTTGTGCTCGATTTGTCCCGCACACTTTGAAACAACACGAAAAAGTCCTCTGAATTCAACATTCAAGAGACATCATTAAAGAGGCCAAAAAGGACCCAAACTTTTTGTATTCGATTGTGACTGGTGACGAAACATGGTGCTTTGAATATGGGCCCGAAACCAAACGAAAGGAAACCGCTATGCTGACGTTGATGCCATCCAAAAGGCGACGACCGCCATCCTCAACGCTATACCGACAAATCACCTAAAAAAGTCATTCGATAACCTTCTTGAACGTGCAAAATGTTGTATTCAGGCGGAAGGAGACTATTTTGAAGGCGACCAACAAATTTTTCAAAAAAAAAACAAATAATATTCGTTTTTTAATAAAAGTCCTGAAACTTTTGAATTGCACCTTGTATATCAGGTAAAACTGATGTATCGATGTTTTTGTCGTTATTGATACGTCATTGGGAATCAACAGAAATGAGCGGTCTGGGGCTACAGAAATAAAGATATGTTAATAAAGTAGCACCGAGTATTTGTTAGAATGCAACCGTTTTGTTGTGTGAATGAATTGCATTGAACAAAAGTTAAATATTGAATTAAAGTTTTTTTTTACTATTTAATATAAAATATTTGTAACAAGTAAGGAAGTTCTAAGTTCGGGTGTAACCGAACATTTTATACTCTCGCAACTTGTAAGGATAAAAAAACCCGGAAAATTACTTCAGGTGTTGGCAAAATTGTATATTAAAGGAATATCCGATTCAACCCATTTTGGACAAAATATCATACAGTTACCAACCGTTTCATTTATGTTATTTATTACATGAATTTCAATTATATATCTTACACATTGACCGATATATTCGGTAAAAAGTCAACTATAGGCACTGGGGTCCACATATTCAGTACCTAGGGGCTTGAAAAATTTTGTTTCGATTTAGACAATTTTTGATAACAAGGTGGCATACTTTAAACGCATTATTCACGCAAAGTTTTATTCCGATACAGTCATTGCTGCTTGATTTGCATAGTGGAAAGTGAAAGAATCACATGGAATTTAAAATGGTGTTATATGGGAAATAGGCGTGGTTATAATCCGATTTCGCCCATTTTCGCACTATAACATAGAAATATGAGAAGAATGTTATGTACCGCCGGATTTCAACTCGCCTCTTTATCCGGATCATTAATATATATATAACCCTATATCTAACTCGATTAGGTTTAGGTGATACAAGCAACCGTTAGGTGAACAAAACTATTATACTCTGTAGCAACATGTTGCGAGAGTATAAAAACAAATCCGTGAAGTGTTAGTGGATGTAAAAGTTAAATAAAAATATAATTGTAACATTTAATATAAATCGAAGAAACACGTACTTTAAATAGCTGAATTTTTGAACTTTAAATAAAAATATCTTAAAAATCATAAGTCAGCAGTAATTAAATATGGATAAATATTAGAATATCGTGCCCCGGGGATTTAGAATATCCATACGGGGTTTAAATGGGTTTGTACGGATAGAGATTAAGGAAATATATATACATATATAGTTACCACTGACTTTGGTTTTTGAGCTATTTGCATTCAAAGTTAAGAAGTTCAAGTACGTGTTTTATCGATTTATAACGAATGTTACAGTTATATTTTTAACTTTTATGTCCACTGACACTTTACTAATTCATTTATACACATTAATTTTATATTACATAGAGCGTTAAATATTGAATTAAATATAATTTTGCACTATTTAATAAAAAATAAATATGTAGAAACGCATTCGTGATGGCTTAGTGGACATAAAATTTAAAAATACAAGCGTATGATTCATTATGAATCAAAGAAACATGCATTTTAAATAGTGAATTCTTAAATGCAAATATCTCAAAAACCATAAGTCAGCGACTACTAAATGTATATATATATTTTTAATCTGGAGGGCCTCCTCTTTCCGTACATACCCATTTTAACCCCGGGAGATGTCCTTTTAAAATTTACCCAATTTTACACTTGAATTTTTAACTTTAATATTCACTCACACTTGACTTATTCGTTTCTACACATTTGTTTTGTATTAAATAATACAAAACTAACTTTAATTCAGTATTGAACTTTGGTTCAAATCCATTTATTCATACAATAACCAAATGGTTGCATGCAAACAAAAAATATAAGTGTTACCATAAAAACGAATAAAAATTAATAAAAAAAAGAACGATTACACCGTCAGTACAAAATTCATAATCGTGTGATGACTAACGCATAATCTTTCAGAATTTCTTTGCTCTTGGTAAATCAAGGTTATTTTTTTTTTTGGTTTTACGCGAAAGAGCTGGCGACGTTTTGGAGTTGGACCGATGAAGGTGAAGCGTGGCCAAAGGCAGTCAACGCAAAAAGTAATTCTCCACGAAAGAACTGAGGACACCCTGGTTTTGGACCAACCATGGTTATTTTTTTGAAGCGCGGCTCAACGCCAAAACAGAATGAAAAACTAATCATGTGTTAATTATTTCCTGCCATTGGGGTATTATTTGTTTTCTTTAGAATACGGTCTAAGGCTTTCGGGAAAAAAATCGGTATAGTCGGATAGAGAGCAAAAATATATATAGATATAGCCACGTGAAACTTATAGTTTTTGAGATATTTACGTTTAAAGTTGAAAATTTCAAATATTTAAAGTATAGTATGTATTTTTTCAATTTAAAATGAGTTTTACACTTATATTTTTCACTTTTATATTTACTAACACTTCAATAATTCGTTTGTACACATTTATTTAACATTATATCGTGCAAAAATAACTTTAATTGAATATTTAAATCATTGTTCAATTCTAATAATTCTGACAATAATAAAAAGGTTACAAAATGTCAAATAACCATATATATTCTAGATATGGAGGACCTCTTTTATCAGCCCATATCCATTTAGGTAAATGTATAGTTTACGTCCCCTAGTGGAGGCCGCAAAACTTACAATTTTTGTTTTATAACCTCTTATTTTGGTCGGTCCAACACCTGGGTGTCCATGGACCAACACCGGGGTGTCTGTGTTCGATAAAATAAGATAAAAAAAATTATTTTCGAGGCCTCTTTCGTTGGAGGACCTAAATTATACATTTACCTCTATTTTATCCCCGAAATCCTGAGACAGTATTCTAAAGCCGACCCCTTTTGTTAGTGTGTGAATAAAATGAATTGAACAAAAGTTAAATATAGAATTAAAGTTATTTTTGCACTACTTAATATTAAATAAATGTGTGGAAACGAATTAGTAAGGTGTTAGTGAATATAAATAAATATGTAAAATTCATTACAAATCGAAGAAATACGCACCTTCAATAGTTGAAATTTAAGTGCGAATATCTCAAAAACCATAAGTCAGCGGCAACTATATATATATTTTCTTAATATAGAGAACCTTCTCTATCCGTACATATTCCTTTAAACCTCGAATTCGGGGGATGCTATTCTAAAATTTATCTGCTTTGTTTTTTTTTCCTTCTGATAAACTTTATCACGTCACAATTTAGGTTTCGGAAATGTTATTGTGAGAATAGACATTCCTTAATTTTCACTACTATATATAAAAGAAAATGATAAACATAACATTACCTACATTTCTTAATCCTAACTTTAGCGTCGTTGAATGTTTTTTACATTTATTTTTATAACTTTAGGAAAAATTTCTGGTAATATTGCTTTCTTATATTTGAGAACCATGATCCATTATTCTCCTTAATAATTCTAATTTTATTATAGTTCGTTATTAACCTAAATATAAACAGACTTTAACCCAAAAACGCTTTTTATTTAGTCAAAAATCCATAAGCGCTGTCGTAAAAAATCGATGAAAAGTTCAATCGTGTATCGAAGTTTTTTTCCCAACTTAGATCGCGTTCACACGTGACTCTCTCTTTGCTCTACTCGGCAAATTCTCTTTTGGTGTTGTTCTGTGCGTTCACACAAGCGAAAAGAGTCCAGACTCGAGTCGAGTTTTTCTGTCATTCCTCTCCTACAAATTTCGAAAATGTTTATGCGGTTCGGCTACGCCACACTTAGAGCGGGTTGCATATTTCAGTTGTATGTTGGGATGGTTTTTGTGAGTGGTAAAGTTCAGGTTGATTGATAGGGAGAAGGGTGTTAGATGTATGGGGTTCGTTGGGTACGCAAAGATATAGTTAATTTAATGCGGAGACTCATTGCATGAGGGACATATGTTTGCTATGTTTTTTTTTCGGGGCGGCATTCTGTATAAGTAGGAGTTAACCCTGCTTCAATACCCAGAACGAAATTGCGCAAGGGTCACTCTAGATTCTCATGGCAAGCGAGCTCTTCGTCTGCAATGGATGGTAGTTTGACTCCTAGTACACCATTCACTGAGAGGGAGTCAGTGAAGGTGTTGATGGCTCCACTGTGAATGACGGTCAGTGCATGTTAGAAGTTAGTTGCGTCCGAAGTCTGGTCGGCGTACTGTTCAATGTTGCCGACTCGATAGTCCGAAGTGCAGTGTTCTGACATGTCTGAAGCTTCAGCGTCGGATTTGCACTAGATCCAGGCGACCGTATCGTAGTTATGCAGAAAAGAAGCGGGAAAGGTCGGAGAGCTACCCATTTACCCTTGAACACATACAATCGATTCTATTGGCCAACGTGATTATCGTGCAATCATCAGCGTACGAGGTTATGGAAATTCCTTCTGGTGGTTAGGGGAGTTTCGATATCTAGAAATTAAACAGTAAGGGGAGAGCACAGCACCCTGCGGAACGCCTTGTATAATTCATCTTAGTTTACAATTTTGACCTCGAATCAGTACGGATGATTGTCCACCGATCAGGTAATTCATGGTCCACCAGCTGAACCCTGGAGAGAGCGTGCATTGTTCGATGTCTTCAAGTAGCATTGTGTGGTTGACTGTGTCAAAAGCTTTTGACAAGTCCAGCGCTACGAGGATCCTCTTCTCATAGGGTGGATTTTAGTTTAGGCCGGGAACCATTTTGTCGTTTATGACGTTAAGTGCTGTGGCGGTGCTGTGTACTTTACGGAAGCCATACTGATGGTCTGCTAGACGCAGGTGGTGAGTGAATGTCGGGAGTAGCAAGACCTCAAGTGTCTTCACTACTGGGGAAAGGAGAGTTATCGGACGATAATACTCCACTTTGTTGGCGGGTTTAATATGTTTCAGTAGTGGCGCCACTCTTCCGACTTTCCATACATCGGGTATTTGAAGAGTGGTCAGCAACAGGTTGAGGGCTTTGGTTAGGAAACTTACACTCGTTGAGCCTAGATGCTTTAGCATGAGCATGTTAATTCCATCAGGGCCAATGGATTTAGATGATTTTGCCATATTGATGACATTCCGAACCTCCTCACCGGTGAAAGTAAGTAGCGCGATCTTTTGACATTTTGCCAAGCTGTTGGGTTACACATTGTTTGGTCTTGTCTGTCGAAGTGTGCAATGTGAATTGCCGGCAAAAGTAGCTTGCGCACTTCTTCGTCATGCCTCTTCGGATTTGACAAGGCCTTGACAGCAGTTCAAAGCTTACTCACACCTGTGGAAGAGATATAAGGCTTTAAATGCTTTATTCATTCTGTCCTCTTATGTTGGTTTACTATCCGAATGCTGAATCACTTATAAGGAATCACAGTTATCGGCTTGGCGTATGGTATCGCGTTCGTTAGCTAAAATTCGGGAGGGGTTCCGCGATTTTTCTAGCCGGTATGAAGCGAGCGGTAGCAGCAGCGATTACCTTGCGTAATTTACGCTCGCTAACGGTAAAGTCCGTAGGAATGGGTAGTGAGGTAAAAGAGCTCTCTTTGAATTCTGTGAAGCCGACACAGTTAGCTTTGTTCGCCGTCGATCAAATGACATTGCACAGTATTCTGCAGTATGAAATAATGTTGAAACCTGTACACTCAGAAGATCTGCGCGGCTGTTTAAGTAGGTTTCTTGGACCGTTGCTATCGATACGCGTTCCCGGCTCATGAATGCAACTATCTCATCGATCTTATTTTAAAGTCCGTTGCAGTTGAATGTAGTAATTGAGTATGTCGCGGGTGTCTAGGAGTAATCTTGGGGTAGAGGGAGTGGCGTGTAGGTGGTGGTTGTTGCAGCTGTAGAATCCGCCAGGGCGGCTGTCGCACTGTGGTGTTGTTTGGCGTCGCCTTTGTAGGGGGTTGCGGGGGCAGACTCCTGCAGCACGAGGCAACGTACGACACACTTCGTTCATGCATGGTGCGCATTACGGAACACGTCGGGAAGTGACACCAGCTAGTACAAAAATTGCACTTGGCTGATGTGACGTTCCGATGTATCAGATTGGGACTCACCCTGCCTGTTTGAGCTCCTGAGCCACTCGACTGGTGTGACGGCGCAATGCGTAGACATGGTGCAATTCGCACCGTCGTTCAGGCTGGTGTCGCGATACTTCGTCGGCAGCATGAAACCACATAACTCTTGGTCCACTACCTGCTGATCTTACGGCCTGAGCAGGTCTTTAGATAGCTCCATCCATTGCATGTATTGCGCCTAATCGAGGTAGAGTTTGCATGGAGCCTCTTGGCGCAAACGCAGCAGAAAAATAACGCAGGGCGCGGGTTTGGCTCTATGGTAGTTCGGGTAAGGAGGATGTGGAGAAACCCTGCTTCGGGTCAATTCCGGAAACGTAGAACCGGCTGTTGTGGGAATTGAGATGGTGGTCTCACATTTGCTTGCAAGGAGTTACCCTGAATGTTGTATAGAATACCCGTTATTAATATTTTCAAGGAAAAACGTATGACGTGAATTCCCTAATTTATTAGAATATATTAAATACCAGCTGTTAATATATTTAAGGCCAAATATATGACGGAAATTTTATAATTTATCAGTAAGTATATACACGTAGTTTTTGTAAGCCATATTTTTTATATTTAATACAAATCATTCACGAATTTATTACATTTCGTGTTTAAAAAAAATGATATTCAAACTTCATCCTTAGAGGTTAAAAAAAAAAATGTGAGCGCATATTAATATTATACTGTATATAAAAAAAGTAAAAGTAATCCATTTTTATTAAAAACAAAAAATTAAAAACGTTTAATTCTGCTAAATGTTATAACATATTTATATTATATATATTTGGGTTTCTTATTCATATTTTCCAAAATATTTCTATTATACTATGAAATACGAAAATGACCGGTTGCTTCATATATTTATACTATTCCCTCTTAATTCCTGTATAATATATTACGATAATGTTTTTATTAAATTTGTGTATTAAATAATATTATAGATTATTTTGTTCTTACGCTTTTAATTTTCAGAGAGAGAGATCTATTTGAAATAGGTATATGGTAAATCTTCGTAGTTCTTATGTTGTATACATAAATAGATAATAAAACTCAAATTTCTGAACGAATTGTATAAATTCATTTGAAAGCAAGCGCCGCTGTTGCAACCATTAAAAAAATTTCTAAATTAAAAGAAATGCAAAAATGTGTAGCACCGACAGAGAAAAATGATATTCAAACTTCATCCTTAGAGGTTAAAAAAAAAAATGTGAGCGCATATTAATATTATACTGTATATAAAAAAAGTAAAAGTAATCCATTTTTATTAAAAACAAAAAATTAAAAACGTTTAATTCTGCTAAATGTTATAACATATTTATATTATATATATTTGGGTTTCTTATTTATATTTTCCAAAATATTTCTATTATACTATGAAATACGAAAATGACCGGTTGCTTCATATATTTATACTATTCCCTCTTAATTCCTGTATAATATATTACGATAATGTTTTTATTAAATTTGTGTATTAAATAATATTATAGATTATTTTGTTCTTACGCTTTTAATTTTCAGAGAGAGAGATCTATTTGAAATAGGTATATGGTAAATCTTCGTAGTTCTTATGTTGTATACATAAATAGATAATAAAACTCAAATTTCTGAACGAATTGTATAAATTCATTTGAAAGCAAGCGCCGCTGTTGCAACCATTAAAAAAATTTCTAAATTAAAAGAAATGCAAAAATGTGTAGCACCGACAGAGAATGTAGATTATAGAGAAGGTTGACAGTGCACAGTTGACAGACAGTGCGGAACTGAAAACGAGCGCGTTTCACCACTTTTGGGAGGGGTACTGAAAACGATGTTTCACCACAGAAAGTTATTGGCCACAATTAACATCAGGGGACCGAAAAATAGCAGAATTGAGCATTTTCAGTGTTAATTGAGAAAAGTAATTCTAATTTCAATGTTAAGAAATGTACCCTTACAGATTCGTATATTTACAATGCTCAAACGACTTTGCTTTTAAGATGTTCTGCATATATAGGTTGGCTCACGAATTGTGCTACAAAATCAAACCGTAATAAGTTTCTTTTTAGTCAATGCATTACATTTATTTTTTTATTGCATAGACAATTTTATTTTAATTAAACAATTTATTATTCCTCCATACTCAAACACGCATATGCGACACCTAATTCGGGGTTACTTCAATTATCTATTTGATGGACTGCTTCAGTTCAGTCAGATTTCTGGGTTTGATTTTGTACACCTCTTGCTTGACATAACCCCATAAGAAAAAACCAAGCGGTCTCAAATATTCTAATACATAATATATGTATAATTATGTATGCATGTAAACGAATATGAAAGTACCCATTATAATTTTTAATATGTTTATATGTAACGTATGTGTGAAAATATGTACACTCATTGTCGAAATCTCAGTTGCCACGGACAACCAATGGCCGAAGCTCACGCAGATTTTTGTGAGCCACGGAAAAATATTTTAAACTCGATAAATATTTTAAAATTGTAAAATATTTTAAATCGACAGAAGCTTTGTTGCCAGTTTTGTCAATTTTTTCTGTATTTTGTGGGTTTGCGGGGTTGCAACTTTTCCCTTCTAGAGGGAACATCAGAAATTTGTTCAATTTATGATTTTTAGCTTTTGCCATCGTCGCGATGTCAAACTCATGCCCGGGGAGAT